GTTCAGTGGATCCTGGTTGACAGTGTGAGGGAGTCACCAGTAACTTCGGACACAATTCGTGCAGAGACGGCACAAGACGAAACCTTGCTGAAAGTGGTAGGGTTTATGCGGTCCATTTCATTAATATGAATCAATATCAGAAATCATTTCAGGGTAAAGAATTCTTTTCGGTAAATCTCATCAGACCCAAACTTTTACATAACAGTGATTGTGGATATAGCGTCAACTGGGGCTGGGATTGACTTCTTGACTGTTTGAATGACCAAAATCGATAACTTGAGACAGAGATAGAGATGGTAGACCAAGTAAACTAAATAAACATATGTACACAATTCTCATTAGTACAAGGTAATTAAGTAGGTAAGATGACGTCCAAATAACTAAGTAACGGTGTCCGTTGGCCAAGGTAGTAATATCGGCCGTATAAATCGTTTTTGGACACATAATTCCGGCTTTAGATGGTGAATGTACATAGCCTCGGCGATGGCTAAGAGCTGTTTGCGGAATCCTTGGGAGAAGTGTTCAGGTAATGAGTAAATGACTTTGAAGTCATTCTCCGAAGCTGTATGGCCACATTCAAGGAGGTGCGACATGATAGAGCTGTCTGAAGACCTCATTTCGCCTCTGTAAAACCATGCCGGGATGTGTTCACGAACCCTCTGAGATAGGCGTCTCGTCGTGCGACCCACGTATCGTGCACCACAGGAGCACGAGTACTGATAAATGATCATTGAACGGGTCAATGGCGGTAGTCTATCCTTCAAGGGTTTTGTAAGCAACGGCTTATTGTGAAAAACGATTCTCAGGCGGGCCGCGAAATAAGTTTTCTCGCCAGCATCTTTCAGGCGTCTGGATAACATATCAGCTGCAGAATCGCCCTTAAAGGGTACATGTATGAAAAGCTCTTTCTTAGGAGCAATGCTCCTAGGTGGCTTTCGATTACGTTCCTTCAAATGTTTCATGATAAATTTATCCGGATAGCCATTTTCCCTGAGGGCGTCGCTGATTCTCTGTAGTTCTTCGTTGACGGTATCCGGTGTACAAATACTGCGCGCCCTGAAGGCGAGAGATCTGATTAAACTCCGCTTGTGCTGTAGTGGTACTGCGCTGTGGAAGTTAGTGTACTGCCCAGTCCATGTGTGCTTTCTGTGTACCTTTCTGCTGCATGATCCGTCTGAGTTACGGATAACTTCTACATCCAAGAAAGGTAACCGGTTTCCGAGTTCGTGTTCACAAGTGAAATGAAGATTCTTGTGTGCGTCATTGAAAGCTTTCAGCAACTGTTCCGCATGCTTTTCGGATTTGCAAAGTACGAAGGTGTCATCCACATACCGTACGTACATTTCAGTTTCACACACACCCCTCAACGGATGTTGCGATTTCAATTATTGTGCCCATAATTTCCAGGACCATTTTTCCGCCAGTTCCACCAGTTTTTTCGTTCTCGTCCACTTTCTTCTGTTCTCCGGTCCAGTTTTCGGTTTCTTGTTTTCTGTTCGTCGTTCGTCCCGCCATGAATATATCAGGCAGCAGGAAAGCATGCGGGCAGGAGCTTTCAAGAGTAAATCGAGAGGACAGCAAACAGCAAGCAATTATCAGCGCTCAGCCAAGCACAGCATCGGCCCCAAAAGGATATCCCATCGCCACTTTCGCCACTACGTCTCCACCCAGCCCCAGTCGCCACTCTCTTTCCGTCATTCTGACGTACATTTCACCATTGAAAGTGAACTGAACATTTAACGTGCAACGAATTTACACCTCCTTTAGACGTCCTGTTAGTTAGCAAAGTCTCCGCATTCCACTTAAGTAATGTCGAGTTTCTCCACCATCCTTCACTCCGGAAAAGTTATGTATATGGGCCAGTTTGCCGGCCCCCGGAGCAAAGCTCGCAAGGTTTCGGGGGACGTACTCCAATCCACATCCACCTGCTTATCCCCACACAAACTGTGTTCGATTTCCCCTTCGTTTTTCGGTCTTTCGAGCAATGGAATGTTTGGAAAACAACAAACCTTGCTCTTAAACAAAAAACAACAACTCAACAGGAACCTAAAACAACGAGCTCCTGTACAGTTAAACTAACAACGACAATGCACCTTTCACTAACTCTTGACAACTCGAAACACAACACAATCCTAGAGCCTTATTAGAACAACAACAGTTGTCATAATTCGAATGAATTATCATCAAAACATCCCATGAAGTTACCCAGCCTTTAGTCATCAAAAATCTCAAAAACCACCCCCACCCCTCCACACCAACCAAGGGCACCACCTCACCACCTCACCACCACCCACAACACCCATCCACGCATCACTCCAGCACCACAGTGTAAGCCACCACCTACAACCCCCCCCGACGACAGCCACGGAACCCCTCCGCACCCACCCACCGGGGGCAACTCCCTACGTTATACCAACACTCAACACACCACACAGACCCGCACACGACCGTCATACACCACCCACGACCAACACAGCCACACACACCCTCCTAATACACCCAACACGACAGGGAACTACAACACCCCTCCTGGACACACACAATTACACACTCCACACACAGACACCACCGTGTCCTTCTCCAGTCGAACGAATTCGGAATTCGAAAACACGACAAGAAATTCGAAAGACTGTCGTCCATCTCTCTCTCATGTCCTCCCTCATGAATTCGAACGCGAAAAAAAAACTTTTCCTTGTCTTCCTTATGTGTCCACTTCTGTCTCACACCTATCCACACATCCTCCATCTCTTCTCACACACCGATCTGAACGCTTTCTCCACTGGTTTCGTGTTTTTCCGATCGAACCGCGTAGTCGTACGTCAACCAACCGAAGCCAAGTCCTCCCTATTCTCACACCCCAGATCCCTCTCCTCTCTCTCTCCTCTCCTCTCCCTCCCCTCACCCACGTCCACACCGATATTACATGAATTACATAAATCCGTCTCTTCAATGAAATTTCGAACGTGTCTGCCTTCTCACCACTCTGTTGTCTCTCACGACACGCAACTTATGTACAAAAACACAAACAAAAGGCCCCCCCCCACCCCCCCCCCCCCCCTCACCCCCTCGCGCCCCAGCCCGCCCCCACTCCCCCCCCTCCCCCCCCCCCCAGAAAAACGCGCAACCTACCTCCGACGCCCCGGGCGTTTAATCTTTATCTCTTACGCCCTGAATTCCACTTATAACACCTAACATCCAATCTTTAGACCCCCAACCACCCGCCCGCCCTCCCTCACCCCCCAACCCGAACCCCCCCCCCATGTAACCCCAACCCCAAATCTGACATCGGCTAGAAAAGATTTGTGAACCCCCGAGGAAATAGCCTGCCCACCCCCTAGCTGGGTCTCCTTCCATAACGACCAGGAACCAAACCACAACCCCTCCTAAACCAACCCGCAATTCCTCTTTGATTTTCGCTCACGGGGGGGGGGGCACCAAACCAATATCCCCGTGGTCTTTGGGGGTTCGCGCTTGTGCCCCCCCCGCCCAATAGAATATTGTCCTTATTCCTCCTGGGCTCGAATCCCCGGGGGCCAATTTGTTTCATTTGCACCCGACGAAACCCAATTCCCCAATAGTGGGCAGATTCATCCCTCGAGTACCAACGCATCGCAGAAACACCCAAGAACCACGGCGAACTACTCCAACGCACCACCAGACCAAACCAACCCCATCCTCTGTCTCGTGGGGGGGGGGGGGGGCTGGTTTTTGGGTGTGAGATCATTCCTTCTTTCTGTCTTTGTGGAAGACCCAAGCCACTTTTGATTGCCATAGACGACTGGTGTGACTGGTTTCGCAGTGTTGCGTGCTGGGCGGACCCCTCTCATCTCGGATTTTGAAAAAAGACCATGAACAATGGCCACTGATAATTGATTACGAGTATTCTATAACTACCCCCCAGGCGTCGTATAATCTTTAAACCAATCTGTGAACCACAACACATATCCCAATTACGGTGGATAGTCACCAGCATCACCATCTTGATAGACATGAAGATTATAGTAGACATAAGTCGTAATAAGGTCAGCATAGCTTTCACCTCTCCAAGGCTATAGTAGCCTACTATTTCAACCTGGCTTACTAGATCTACTAGAATGTGCGTCGCGTCATTCTCCGAACCCAACCCTACAAGTTAACCGGTGTGTGTTCTTTATAATAGTGCGAGAAGTGCAGAGGTCGAGCGAGCGGATGCTCATCAGAGGTGGGCCCGGCGATGCGGCGTTTCGGTTTAAACAAAGTAGTTGTTCTTCAGGGTGGTTCGGAAGTTCTCCGGCCAGAAATTATTCGTGGAAGGGCAAACGAGGGGAGAAAATCGCCGCGTGGGAGAGACTAGCATAACCCGAGCACACGACCAACCCATGCTGCTATGTTCCGCCCTAAGATTAAACGGGGTTACAGCATGCATTAACTCCTATGCGTGTGAATCGTACCAAGCAATGTGGACACAATAAATTCTCAAGACAGTTACCGGGAAAAATTAAACCTTACATTGCACTATATTCACCCTCTGCCCCACCCCCTGACGGGTATGGGGGCCAAACCCCGCCGCCACTTTCAAACGCTCTACATATAATCTTGAACTAAGTAAGCTGCGACAAAACAACCTCATATTCGCTTGTGCAGCCATTCCACAGCGCTAATTTAACTATTTTTAACTCACAAATAGCCGAGAATTTCGGCCATGGCTTTTATCTGAGGTTTCACAGAACAATTCTTGACATGTTATTCCCAGAAGGGCTACCGGCGGACAGAAGTATACATCGCCTCTGGTGATTAGTTCCCTCACCACCCTGTGTGGCGTAAATGTCCCTGTTCCTGTTCTTAAAATCTAATTGATTGTAATCGATGTTTTATCTCCGAGCGCGACTCTACGCAAATACACCTCGATTCGTGAGGACTGGGTGTTCGAGCGTACTTCACATTTACGGCTGGAGAGTCTTGAGGGCATTCAGATTGTAAGGCCAGGCAGGCGGACTGTGAGACACCTCTATACAAACATCATGAGCAACAAACAAAAAGGCGAACCAATCGTTCGGGGGGGGTGGGGGGGGGGTGGAGGGGTGGGGGGGTGTCGGGGGCAAGGGTGGGGGGCGGGGGGGGGGAGGGGGGGGGGGGGGGGGGTGGGGGGGTGGGGGGCACTGTGTGGAACTGACATGTTCTGTGAGTGCTTATACTTGCGAAGCGTGGTTGGAGTAATCTACATAAACTCCACAACTGTATGGCAAAGAACATGAACCTGTCAGAAAAAATCTTCATACTGATCCGGGCTCTTCCCATACACAAACCCTACCACCCTCCACACTGCGTGGGCACCCCCCGCCCCAATCTATAGCGGGGGGCCCCGACTACCCCCCGCACCAACTACAGCATAGATCCAGGTAAAAACACCCAACATGTAATCGTACCGTATCAATTAGACAAAAACATTTCGCAGCTGGTAAAATAAAATAACACATCGAGACGCGTTCTAGTAGACTTCCATCCGAAGTTCCGCCAGTTGGTGCGTACGGCTGGGAGCTACCCTCCGAAACGCATGCAAACACCTTAGGCATCGAACCAAAATACTTTAAATCGTGGATTTACTAAAACAAGATGACACAATACTACGGAACAGCGTATAGGGTACACATCCGTCGCGAAACGTGAGAAGGGCGCGAGTACTAGTGCCTCATATGTTAAACCCAGCAGGTTCACGCGCGAAACACCAATCTCAATGCGTTAATGAGGTCGTTGCGCATGTTAGCATCATGTCTACTACTGAATTGTTCTGAAAAACTGGTGCACACCAAAAGAAGAGCTATAATCAGAACACCAATATGAGTGACTACACTCAATTACCATGATCCACCCAAATTTACCAAAAACATCCCAACACCCTTACACTGCTTCCAACCACGTCCCCCATGAGGTTGCTCTGTCATTTATGCAGACTGACCCCTTATAGTGTATATAACAATCTCCCGTTCAAACAGAGTGTTCCAATAACACTTTAAGTGTCGGTACCCATTCATAGTCTAAGTAAATATTGTCCAGGTTGCTGCATTATTGGCTAGCGCGGGGTGGGTATACTGTGAGCTCGAAGACGGAAATGTAAAAGGGTAACATATCCGGAAGAGCTGAATGTGTTCAAGAATTCTTTAATGTTAGCTCTCGTATGACCACACACACATCGTTGCGTGTGTCATACCTGCTCAAACGTTCTTTCCAATGCGAATATAACTATATCTGTCCATTGGTGTACCACATTCATCACAATTTTACTCAGTGTCCAACTGTCAGGCGAAACTTTTATCACCAGTACCCTACCGGTTCTTCAACAGTGAGTTACATACTAATCCACTGCCAGCAGAGGGTCAATGTAGTATGTACTTGTAAAAAGACACCCTTAACTGCATCAGTGCACCGTCATGTATAGATACCGTGACTCAGCCAGACGTGGCATATATGTGAAGCGAAACCTAGCAGCACGGTGCCGTGTGAACCACCAACCCCCAATAACCACTCGGGGGGGAAGCTTAACTGTCGGCCGAGGGAGGGGGCCATCGTAAGTTTTGACTGCGAGTACAATCCCTCATTACGACACGCCAATTCACCAGGATATGCATCCTAACTTCCTCACCGACGGGCAATATCGGCGAAAGACTGAGACCATGACCCCAAGGATCATTAAACACACAGTCTGAAAAACACCCCATGCCTGACCAACAATAGCGTACCATCACATGACCATTTCCTAGTTCCATTCCCCGACCTGCCTGTACACAACCCACCAAAGCCTCGCTACCTCTTCTGTAGAACCGTTCTACTACCCAACCACTCAATTCCCTCACGCGATACTGTTCGTGACCAAAGTGCCACAATGAAAAGAACACCCCCACATTAGTAATCCAAAGTGGGCAGACAGATGAGCAAACCGGAAGAAGAATGGGAGTGCCCTGAGGGGGAGGGGGGGGGAGGTCGGAAAGATGGGGGGCCAATGCATGCTTGTGGGGTCGGGGGGGCGTCAAATAAAACTTGCCAACAGATTCTACCCCAGAGTAACACATCCCTGGCCCATATGCCCCCCCTCCATCTAATTAATCCTTATCATATCACAGACAGGCTGTAGATTTACCACCGGGTGCATACGAACAACAAAAATCAAAGAGTCTCACCTACTTTTACAATATGACGTGTGATACCATTGAGGCCTGTTGTTAGCGGTTACTCGCGAGGACATAAGTATAGTTGAAGAACAAGATGTTGGTCAACTGCAATTGTGGAGGTTGGTGAGCAAAATAAAGAACTCATCTCCCTGCCCGCCCGTCGTAACCACCCAGTCAACCACACAAGCACCCCACGGTCACGATCGGGGGGGGTGCACCCCTTCACCTCCTACAAACCGCGAAAACACTCCTCGGAGCGCCATATGCAGTGGTCCCCTTCATAGTTCGTAATTAGCTCATCGATCGAATTTCAAAAATGTCGTGGGCTTATCTGCTCC